CTCACGGGCCCAGCTGCTCCGCGGCACGTGGGATCTTCCCGGACCGGGGCACGAACCCGTGTCCCCTGCATCGGCAGGCGGACTCTCAACCACTGCGACACCAGGGAAGCCCCTATATATATATATATATATTTTTTTTTAATGTAGTTTTCAAAAATCATTTGAACCTTTAAAAAATGTTGACATGGCACGTCTCCTCCTTCCCTCCCCTCCATTCTCAGCTCCGCAATCCCTGCCCTCCCTGCCCCAATAACCAGCATTAATAACCTGGAGAATAACCCTCCATCACTGTGTCCAGAACATGAGATGTTTGTGTGTCATCATCTTAGGACAAGCCCTGCTCAGCAGCTGCAGGAGGGCAGAGCCCCAGCCCAGTGCTTCTTATGTTCTTTATGAGGAGAAAACTGCCAGCGACTGGGTCTAAGTTAATCTAGTGAAGTCTTGGGTGAGCCCTCCCGTCCTCCTCCAGGACTTCTGACCAGGACTCCCCTGCAGAGTGGGGTGTAGGGCAGTGCTCCGTCCTAACTGCCCCCAGGCCTCAGGGCCACTGCTGCCCTAGCTGTGAACAGGCACCCTCATCTGCGGTCCTGTGAGCAGTACTGCGCCAGCCGCGCTTCCCGACAGCGTGCTGTAGTGATGCACACACCACCGTAGGGGAGGCTGGGAGAGGGCCTGGGGGACGCTCTGCACTACTGTTTGCAACGTGCTGTGAATCTACAGTGATTTAACAATAAAAACTTTTTTAATGTATATAAGAAAAATCTTTTCAAACAAAAATGTGAATTTGTTAAAACAAACAGACAAACCCCCCCGCTCTGCCCCAAAGGCTCGGTATGGGGAGGGGTCTTGGGCTGACAGGCCGTATTTCTCTTGCTGCTCACAGCCCTGATGTACCCGGGGGACAAGATCATTTTCCAGAAGGACCAGGTGCGTCCAATCCGGCAACCAGGAGGCTACTACTCGGACCTGAAGATCTTCAGTCCAAACCTGGCCCTGCTCCGATCCCAGGGCATTTCCAAACCTGTGGCTCAGAAGCCTGACAAGCTGAGTGTCGGCCCCCTCCTCCCCTGCCTGCGCTCCTGCCCCACTGCTGCCCCTTTGCTGGGGGGCTGGGGGTCACGTTGTGCCAGTGTCTGTGTCCTAACCTGGCATGTCCAACCCAACTGATCACCATGGACTGGCCATGTGTCCCCGGGCACATGTCTCTGCAGCCGCCTTGCCTCGTTCCCACGCAGCCACCCTCCTGACCACATCCTATGTGACCTCAAGCTCTCTGGAAAAGGTTAAAAAGAGGGACTTCTTAGAGAAACGAGGGAGGACCCTTCACAAATTATGGGCTGGGTGTCAGGGCCCCTGCAGAGGACAGTGATGGCAGCCCCTTCTCTGCCCTGCCTTCTCTGGCAAAAGGTGGGCTTGCAGCCCCCCAGGAGGAGAACAGAACTCTGCACTCGGGCTTCCCCCTGACCCTCAGATGCCAAGTCCTCTCTAAGAAAATGTCCTCCTTTGTCAGGAGGTGACCCGAGGGCAGGCTATGAACCAGCATCAGTGGTGACTGCAGACTGGAAAATGGCAGCATCCCTGCAGAATGCAGGAGGAGGGGGCAGCTGACCAGATACCATGGCGGGGGGAGGGGCCCAAGACGGAACCACACCGTATGTCACTGCCAGCTGCCTGCTAGGGTAGTCTGGCCAGAACAGCAGGGGTGGGATGCAGCAGATCCGAGTGGAAATCCAACAGGCCAGCGGTTAAATGGACAAGTTACCTTACTCACTGAGCCTCAGTATGTTCATCTGTAAAATGGGCACAACAGCTATACCACACACAGAGAGGACCAATGAGAAATGCAAGTAAGCTTCTTAGCAGTTAGCACTCGAGCACTGATTGTTGTTGTTGTTTTAGCCTGCCCCGTCATGGCGTTCTCCAGTGCAGGAGTGGGCTAGGTCTGCAGGTGGGGCTGTCCACAGCCCCGGTTGGGAAGAGCTGAGCATGAGCCGGGCAGGTGGTGGCCTAGAGAGTCCTTTCTGATCCCCTAGTGACTGCCTTCCAGCCCCTGAGTGGCTGCCACCAGTTCCTGAGCCATGAACCTAGGGAACCTGAGAAAGTGACTTTTGTCCTGCTTAGGTGGGCCACAGTTATAAAGGATAGAAGTCCCCCGGGGCAGGGGTGGACTGGTTTCATTGGCTTCTTGAATGCATTGTGAAAGATTCTGGAGCCAGATGCAGGCTTGCTGGGAAAGTGTGCCGTGGTGATTAGTGATGTCTGCCAGGGCTGAGGTTTGGGGCGTTAGCTTTCACCACCCTTGTCCTCAAGGCTGGATTCAGCTCTGGAAGGCAAGTGGGAGTCAGGGGCCCCAAAAGGACTCAGATTACTGAGCATGTCTCATAACCATCTGGGAGGTCTCTGTGCTGGGAAATGAGAAACCCGAGGCTCCACAAGGGGAGTGACTTGCCCCAAGTCTCCCAGCCAGCCAGGCCTTGAGCCCAGGGCTGTCATCCTGTCTGCCTGACCAATAGGGGCCCAGAGGTCTAGACACCCCAGCGCACTGTGTTCCACTGGAGCATGGGGGACAGAGTCAGGGCCCCACCCAGGTAGAAGAAATTCTCCTTTCAGAGCTCTGGTCTGGACTCAGAAGTGGACCCCCTGTCACACTGACCTACTCCCCAAAGCCCCACTGAGCTGGATTTCCTGTCTCCTGAAAAGATACCTCTCTCTCTCTTCTCCACTAGGAACATGCTGAAGGTCAAGGAAGTCAGCTTTAAGAAGCGTGAGGAATTCACCAGGTCTGTAGTGATCATCTAACTCTGGGAGGGGGGCGGGTAGGAGTGCCCAGGACTCGCATGTTGCAGTGTACATGGTAGCACTGCATCCGGGACTCATTGCCCAGGAGCTGAGGGGCATAAAATGACACTTAGGAGTGCTAGGCAGACACTGCTCTCCAGAGGTTAACTCACGTAAATCCTCTCAACAACCCTATGAAGTTACTCTTAGCATTCCCATTTTGCAAAAGAGGAGACTGAGGTACAGGAAGTTTGACTATCTTGCTCAAAGTCACATCTCTATTAAGTGGTGGAGCAGGGATTCGGACCCAGCTGTGCTGGCTCCAGAGGCTGCATTCCGAACAGCACATTAAAATGCCTCTGCAGAGCAGGTAGTGTGCACTTAAGAGTTTGGGTTTAGAGGCAGCAGACTGGCACTCAAGCCTGCGCCCTGCCACTAGCTGGCTTGTGTGGTCTTGGAGAAATAACTCAGCCTCCTTAGGGCTCCGGGTCCTCGCTGGTGAGGCAGATGGGACAATGGAGCCCACCGCACAGCACTGTCGGGAGGACTGAGTACTAAGTGCTTAGCACGGTGCTGCACCTCCACTCTGCGCACAGCGGGTGGGCTCCGCTGGGAAGCAGCCCAGGCCGCCACCTGTCTCCATGACAACCGTCCCGGTGTCTTCTCCTTCTCCAGGAAGCTGAAGGCGAAGAGGCCCAGTGGTCCGCAGCTAACGCATCCCAATTTCTTCTGGCCGGGCCACCTCCTGGACAAGCTGAAGCTCTACCTGCCCACTGTGACCGTGGACCGGAGCCTGGCGCTCTTCAGCTGTGTCCAACACCGGTCCCAGGCCTACTCAGCCACCTACCATCCCGACCACTGGTGGCCCATTAAGGACATGAACTACACGACCTATGCCTATTACGATGCCCCCAAGATCTACCACATCAACTAGACTGGCCCAAGTGTCGCCAAACCTAGCCATCCTGGGGCTGGGGGCCAGTATAGCTAGCAGCCCAGAGCCGTAGACACAGGGACGGTATCAAAGAACCAAACAAGAGAAGTTGACTCAGTGGGAAGGCCCGGGCCAGCTCTCCAAACTCAAAGCGTGCAGTGTCTCAGAGGGTGGATGTGTCCAGGGAAAGATGTGGGTTTTGAGCATTTCCCTCTCCTGACCTCTGTCCTTTTGAAATAAACCACGTTGGAGTTTTTCTCATGTCACCTGTGATCCAGCTGATGTGATTTCCTGCTCAGAAGCTGTGGCCAGAGGGATGTTGGCAAGCTGGGGTCCTGAGCCTGGGAAAAAAACACACACGGCCTGGGGTTTTGACAGGGATGCCTACATGGCACTTCCAGCCTCTCATCCTGGATCTCAGGGCCCACCAGGAAGCAGCAGGCAATGTGGGTACCCCTGTGCCCTTCTCTTGAAATAAGTGTCCCTCATCCCCCAAAGAATGAGCCATTTGGGTCACTACTTCCAAAACTCTTGGGCCTTTCGCAAGTGCAAGCACACTGGTTCATGAGCCCTTCCCCTAATTCGCCCACCTGACCCCCACATCAAGACCTTTTCCTTCACAACACACACCCTGCAGACTGCTGTTAGCACAGTGCCTCCGTGCTCAGCATCCCAGTTGACTTCCACAGCCCACAGGGCGAGCAGGGTTCGTGAGGTGTGGTGCAGTCTCAACCCTACGGCTTGCCAGCTATGTGATCTTGGACAAGACATTCCCTTCACATTTCACGTTTCATGTCTCTGGGTCTCCTCAAACTCCCCTTCACAGTCAAAATCTCACGAAGGAGTTGTCAACACTTGCTCCCTTCCCTTCTCACCCATTACGAAGTCAACAACACCATCCACGTCAGCTTCTGTCTCCATCTGGCCCTGAAACTACTCTACCACAGATCACTGATGGATGACATGACATCCGTATTGTGTTCGGGCTCTGGAATCAAGGGCCATTTTTTGTTTTGTTTTGTTTTTCCTCTCTTGAAATTTGATTTTCACAATAACCTTCAAAACAAAAGCTAGGGCTTCCCTGGTGGCGCAGTGGTTGAGAGTCCGCCTGCCGATGCAGGGGACACGGATTTGTGCCCCGGTCCGGGAGGATCCCACGTGCCGCGGAGCTGCTGGGCCCGTAAGCCATGGCCGCTGAGCCTGCGCGTCCGGAGCCTGTGCTCCGCAGCGGGAGAGGCCACAACGGTGAGAGGCCCGCGTAACCCCACCCCCCAAAAAAGCTAAAATAAAACAAAGAACAATTCAAAACGAGGCAGTCTAGCCTAATGGTTAGAAGTGTGGATTTTTTTTTTTTTTTTGGCGTCGAATATCCATACTTCACTCTCTACATATGTAAAATGGGGAAAGTAATAGAACTACCTCATGGAACTGTGCGAGGCCCACTGAACGAGAGCTATTACCGTCTCATTGCTATTTATAAATTCACGTGAGAGAATTATTAAAATGTCGCTGTTTTGTTCCCTCCTGGCCACTAAGAGGCGCACTTCGGAAGAAGAAGCGCGGGAGGCAGTAATCTAAAAGCTGGATTATCCTCCGGAGGGGGCGGCTTCAATTCCTGGAGGAAGTGGATGCCTCCTCACCAGGTCTTAAAAGCTCAAAAAAATTCCAGATTTTTATGTAGTCCCAACGACACGCATGAAAATTTTTAGCGCTACTCCTAGATATTAAAATCTATGAAAACACAAGTATCCTCGAATTTTTTCACTGTTATTTCTCTGGAGTGCCTATAGTATCTTTGAAGGACCAGAAGCCGGAAGTGCTTTCCTTTTCCCTGCCAGGACCCAAAGGTGAAGTCCCATCAACCTCGCGCGCTACCTTCCCGTCTTTTCCTCGGCGCTGCTTACGAAGGTGGCCGCCATCTCCTACTCGGTGAGTGTTAATCGTTGGCCATCCTTGTCTCTGCGGTCTCCATCTGGCCCCATCGCCCCCTGCCGAGGAGGCCCGTCCTTCCGAGCACTCGTCTGGGTGGGCATGGCTCTTGTCGGTTGGCTGGACCACGTACAGGCACAGAGCGAAGCGACCCGGAGGGTGATGGAGGTTCGCTTCCCTGGGCCGCTTGCTCTCCTACGGATGCCGCCTGGGGTCAGAGCTGCGGACAGCTTGTTGGAGTCCTGGGGGCGCAGGGCGCCTGTTGGGGCTAGACTAAGGGGGCTCCTGGGGGCCGTGGCAAGACAGGGGGTTCCGGCCTTACGGCCCTGGGACACCTCGCTCAGCGATGTCTGCCCACGTGTATTCTTCTGTGTCCGCTGCTCCACGGTCCCTCCTTTTCAGTTTCTGGCCCTGGGGTTGCCTCTGACGGGACTGCCAAAAAAAGCAAAAAATTCGAGCTGCGAATCGAATAATTCAATTAATCGAAATTCTGGTAGCGGGTCAGGATCTCTGGGAATGTGAAGCCGTATCCTGGTCTTCGAGGAGATCATTGGGGGTCGGGGGAAGTTCATTTATTGGACAGATTTATGGAGTAACTGCTCTGTGCTCAAGAAAGAAATTGGTGGCCGTGAAGAGAACAAAAAGGGTGCTGCGGTAGAAAAGGTAAGGTAGCCGGAAAGGCCACCTTGAGGAAGGTAACTTTTTAAAGCTGGTATTCGGATGATGGTCAGGTGGAACAGAACGTTCCAAGGCTTAGAGGCATTTTAGAAACACATGACGGTTTTGTGTATCGTTTGAGGGTGTCATAGAGCAGCAGCACCCTAGGGGAATTACAGGTTTCTCTTTCCTGCACATCTCTTGTGTGGTCCAGGCACTGCAGGTGTTCAGTGGGCAATATCTCCATTTAAAAGGTGAGAAAACTGAGATTCAGGTTCATGAAGATTGCCCAAAGCCTGCAATTGGCCCATCTCAGGGCCGGGACACTTTGTAGAATGGGATTTGCTGCCCCTTTGCAAAATTTCCCTTTGTGGTTAATTTGATTTCGGTTAGCTGTCGACATTCTTTCTTGGCTTTGACTGGGCAAGGTGACCCCTGACCTCCCAGGATCGCGTCTGGAGAATGGCTAGTATTCTGCCAGCTTCGGAGTTGGGAGGGAAAGCAAGCCTGGCAGAGGTACCCATTCCATTCCCAGTTTGCTCCGTAGCTGGTGATTGGAAGATACTCTGCAACAGAGTTCAGGCCCTAGGCAGGGTGGGGAAGCCTCCTTCCAAGACTCATCTTTGACATGGTCTCTTGCCTCTTTCTTGAAGGCACCATGGCTGCCCTCAGACCACTCGTGAAGCCCAAGATCGTCAAAAAGAGGACCAAGAAGTTCATCCGGCACCAGTCAGACCGATATGTCAAAATTAAGGTACGTGGCCCAGGACAGAAGTGTGTGTTGGGATGAAGAAAGGGGTTCCTAAACTGGCTGTTGGGTTTCTCACATCCCCAACTCAGATGACCTTTGGTAGGTGAACTGGTCTGTGGCTGGTGGTAGAGTTCTCTAGAATCCCAGGTGTCTCTGCCTTATTAGCACTCAGTCTCTTGATGTGTAAATTGAAATTTAAATGGCAAGGGACACTTGCCTGTTTTGAGGTGTCTAGAGGCTTATATTTGTTGTATTTCAGGTGGCCTTATGACAATATGAGAGCTAGATTACGCTTATTTCATAGATGAGGAAACTTAGGTGTTGATTGCGATGTTAAAAGCCATGCTTTTCATCTTACTTTATACATGGTCTCCTCACATCCCATGGGTATGTAGTCTGCTTTTCCTTTGCTTGGAAGGAGTGTGAATTTGGATCGTATTCCTGCTTCTTACTTTATACATGGTCTCCTCACATCCCATGGGTATGTAGTCTGCTTTTCCTTTGCTTGGAAGGAGTGTGAATTTGGATCGTGTTCCTGCTGGTCAGATGCAGGAGCTCCTATTTTTTTCCACCAGAAAAAATGTAGTGAAATCCTGTTCCCTGAAGACAACTACTGTTCGGCACGTTTCCTTTTCATCTGGTTCCTTTTTTCTCCGAAAGGAAGAGTTGGCGTCTTCACAGACACTAACCATGTGTTTTCTTTCAGCGGAACTGGCGGAAACCCAGAGGCATTGACAACAGGGTGCGCAGGAGATTTAAGGGCCAGATCTTGATGCCCAACATCGGTTACGGGAGCAACAAGAAAACAAAGCACATGCTGCCCAGCGGCTTCCGGAAGTTCCTGGTCCACAACGTCAAGGAGCTTGAAGTGCTGCTGATGTGCAACAAGTGAGCTGGGTCCCACCTCTGGGTTAAGGTGTTAGAAGCCTGCGTGTGTGAGCAGTTTGGGCAGGGACTCTGGACCTTCTGGAACGCATCTGGAGGAGTGCTGTGTCCTCAGGAGCTTGGGTGATGCTTGTTGGGGACTTCAGAGTGCTTCCTTTGCTGGAGAGATGTGGGTTGGGAGCTGTCCTGAAAAGTGTAGAGACCCAGGACCGGAAGAGAGTAAAACTGGCTTTGCTTGAGCATGGCAGCGTGGCTCCTGCTGTAGCCTCTGGCAGTCATTTTCAGAACATTACTTATGCGGGGTGTGGGGGCAGGATGAAATGTAGCCTCAGATCTAAGGGACACTTTACACTGTGGCCACAGGTATCTTCAGAAGGCTATAGGAGTAGAGGAATTGCTGCCTCATTTTGGGCTGTGATCTGAAGTGGAGAAATGGGGGGAAGGCTGCAGGCAGAGAGGACAGCTTACACAGAGTTGTAGGGGTGCGAGAGGGCATGGGGGTTCACAGCATTATTTTAGCGTTTTGAGAAATTTAGACAGTTGGCGAGATCTGTGTGTAAGAGACTTTTGGTCTGCTTAGGGCCAGACTAGGGCAGTGGGATGAGAAAAGATTTCTCATGGGTAGTGATTTAGACACTATTTTATTTTATTTATTTCTTTTTTTGTTTTTTGCCGTATGCGGGCCTCTCACTGTTGTGGCCTCTCCCGTTGCGGAGCACAGGCTCCGGACGCGCAGGCTCAGCGGCCATGGCTCACGGGCCCAGCCGCTCCGCGGCATGGGGGATCTTCCCGGACCGGGGCACGAACCCGTGTCCCCTGCATCGGCAGGTGGACTCCCAACCACTGCGCCACCAGGGAAGCCCCTAGACACAATTTTAATCTGGATTGGGGGGAATGGTAATTTTTGGTTAAGCAGAGGACAGTTTGTTTTCTTCCCTTCCTGTTAAGCAGGAGCTAAAAAAACCTGCATTTTCTTGGTGAGTTAGAAAGGACATGGAGAGAGTGACCAGTACATCTGTGTGTACGTATGTTTACAAAGATCTTTTACCTGTAGTAATTGTAGACACAAGTAATAAACGACTATTATTCTCACTTCTGGTTGAGTTTCTCTAGGTCAGAAATCTAGCCTGGCATTGAAATGCTGCAGATAGAAAGGATGAGCATAGGAATTAATGTTGGATGTCCAGACTGCAGTAAGCAGGTTGATAGAGAATTGTGAAAGATGCAGTTTAATATGTTTTGTGTAGCAAAGATGATTGCTGTGCAAATGTAGTTGGTTGCCATAAGTCTTTTTAATAGCAGCTTGGCAGTTTGTATCAAGAGGTACAGAAATGCTCTGGATCTAATTTAATTCACAAGTTCCATTTCTGGGCATTTATCCTGAAATAATTGAAAAGTAGGGAAACTGTAAGCTGATCATTGCAGCAGTAACTGCACTGTGTATCATTGGTGAATGGTGGGCTTACAAGCGCCCGCTGGAATGTTGTGCGAACGTTAAAAACGGTTGTCATGTATGGAAAATGCCCAAGCAGAGGGGAAAGTATTTGAAGTATGTACAGTGTGATTGTGATTATTAAATACACATGCATGAGGACTTGGGGAGCTTTTGAAAAATGAAAAAAGTATGATGCAACTTAAGTCTCCTTGGAAATAAAGATTGGGGAAATGTTTTAAGATATTGGACTTGAGTGGACTTCTTTACATAAAACAGAAGTTGTTCTCTGTCTGGATTGGTTTGTCTCTTGCTTTGAAGCTGTTTTCCTGCAGAGTTCTTAAAAAGAACTGTGCCCACTGCCTTATTTAATCACTCCCTAGCCTTACTCCTCTCTGCTGAAATTCCTCCTGGGGTAGAGTGTCTTCTTAATTCAGTGTTGATGGCTTCATAAATCACTTCCTTACTGAAATGTGCTTATTAGGCCACTTTGTTGTCAAACTGAGGTGTGGTGTGGCTGTGAAGGAATGAATAGAACGGTACCTGGCACCAGCTCAGGAAATGTTAGGTGTTGTCATTCACTGGGTGAGTTTAGGCATTGTTACTTTTCAAGTTGAATTGTTGTCTGCAGCAAACAGGTAAAATGTTTACGGTCTGGGCTGGGGGAGCCCTTGGCTTAATCAGGCTGTTGGCTTTTGCTGTTGGTTGCTTTGCAGAAGCAAAGCTTTTCACGGGCAAGTCCAAGCTCCCTGAGACTGCCTTGAGCTGGGCAGGCTGGTTCAAAGGACTGAGGGAGAACCTTTGAACCTGGATTCTGGGGCTGAGCCATCCTGGACTGTGTGTGAGTTGGGAATTCACCTCCACTTTGTGGACCTTGGTTTCCTCGTCTGTAAAATGGAGGTGCTGCCTGGATTACAAGGCCGCTGGGAGGGTTAAACAAGAGGGATCATTACCAGGGAACACTTCAGAGCCGTGTTGCTAGTGCCGTGGAATTAGGGGAGTTAACAGCCCACCCCCCGCTTCAGTGCTGTAGCTCTGGAAGCGGAGTGACCAGGGCTATTGCCTTCCCGGTGGAACACATAAGTGTGTTTTCCAGGATGGCCTCCTTACGTACCGATTCTCTTCCAGGTCTTACTGTGCTGAGATTGCGCACAACGTCTCCTCCAAGAACCGCAAAGCCATTGTGGAGAGAGCAGCCCAGCTGGCCATCAGAGTCACCAATCCCAACGCCAGGCTGCGCAGCGAAGAAAATGAATAGACAGCTCGTGTGCACGTTTTGTTTAATAAAACCGTAAAACGGCCACATCTGGCATTTCCCCCTTGGTTTCCCTCTTCAGTTTGTTTGACAGCTTGTCTCAGAGTTGCCCTTTTGCCTGTCTGCTCTGTGGAACCTTCTGTTTGGAAGGCGTTTGTAAAAGATACGTGATTATAAAGTGAGGAATTATCCTGTGTGGTTCTTGTGAAGATTGAGGACAATCAAGTTTCCTTTTCAACTACAGTCCTAGACCTTAGTCAACCGTACCTAGAATTCAGCTGTTTTATGAGGCTAAGAGGCCATTTTTCCAAGACGTGGTATTATTAAGTGGCAGCACAGGTCACAAGGAACAGGGCATGTGGCACTCTATAGCACAAGGTTGGATTTAAGGCCTTTAGTTCAGTAGATAAATGTCTTACAGATTGGCTCCTGTTCAAAACTCTGAAACGTTTGAGTAAATTGTTGGTCATTGTGTGACTTCTTTGAATTGACGTGGGGAGCATTCTGATAGTCTTGGCTACTGAGTAGAGGAACTGTGCAGAGAAAACAGTAACAGTTGAGGATCTGTCCTTTATTAACCTGGGATAGCAGAAAATTCTTTGGCCTGTCGCTTAATATTTCTGTGTCCTTGATACTAAAAACTAGAAAGGACATGTTCACAAACCACCTGGTTACACCTCGATGGGGGGACATGAAAGGTGGTTTGTACTTTTTCATTTGTGCTTTCCTGTCTCAGTTTGCTACCTAAGAGTTTTGGGATTAGAAAAAAAAACATTACATCTAATTCCCTACCCCACTCACCTGCCTCTGCAAAAATAATACACGTTCCTGATTTATCACTGCCAATGAGAAATAAAGCATTTTGGATTCTAAAGTGTGAATAGCTCAGAGGTACCTGAGTTTTTAAGATGCCCAGCCAAAGCACTAATTTTTGGCACATCGCATCAGGTTAAAACGTGGGAGTAGTGTGAATGACACATCTGGGACAGCGGGGAGGAAGGCATCCAGCTGCCTCCTAAGCTTTTTGCAGCTGTGAGCACAAGTATTTCTAAATACTAAGTACTCGCTGAGGCTGGGACCCCCAGTTTGAAGGAGCCAGGCTGAGCTGTGTGCAGTCACATCCATCTTCCGTGGAAGCTTTGGAAGAACTACCACACCCGCTTTGAATAACTGTCCTGAGTTAAAAGGGCCCAACTGTTGGCAGCCTTGCAGCTCTGACTGGGGTCCCTGGAGAAGGTGCCCGACCAGGAGAGGGAGGACCCCAGTGAGATGGATAAGGGGCAAAAGTTAGAGGCCTGTGGTGCTGGGAGGGTGAGGCTCTGGCTTCAGTGGCCCTCCTTGTGAGTTGGGGTCCCGGGGTGGGGCACTAGCTGAGCTCCATGGAGTCTGTGCTGGGGGCTGAAGCAGAATCCTTCTGGATGCTTTCAAAGAGGGCAGCCAGCTCGGGGTTGGATCGAATTTGGGATGAGAAGTCAGCCATGATGGGGCTCTTCCCCACTTCTGGGATGGTCAGCAGGGTGGCCACTGCCCTCATCGCGGAGCGCTTCAGTTCATCTTGCTTCTCAAACTCCTGTTTCACAGAACCAGCTTTGACCTAAGGTGGGAAGCAATGAACAACGAACCATCCTTTATTGAACACGGCCTTGCATTTCCCTGGTCACCCGTCATCCTCCCCAGCTCGTGCGCCACCTCCTATCTTTATTTACTGCACTTAAAGCAGACTCTTGGCACCATTGGACTTCATGAATGGGTTGCTGTGACAGCCTTCTAGCTGGCCTCTAACCCCCAGTCAAGTCCTTGCCTCTGCCACCCATTGTGCAGACGAGCTGGGGAGTAGACTTCCAAAGCTGCCTTGCCTGCTTTCCACTGCTTTATCCCCTCCCTCTCCCGCTTATTCACAGAATCTCAGGAATTTCCCCACTGCTTATGGAATAAAGTCCAGATCCCTTCTGCTCTGCTCTCAGGACACTCAGCCCAGACAATACTCAGGCTCCTCCCCAAAGAGGCTCAGGTAGAGGTGAAAAGCTTGGCATTGGGGCTGGACAGTCCTGGGTTCAAATGGCTCTGCCCCCTAAGAGCTGTGACCCCTCTTTAAGCTCCAATCTAAAATACTCTGCTTTCTTTTTGGTTAATTCCTACTCTTCCAAAACCCGAATTAGTTTTGCATTCAGCAGGCATTTACTATGTGTGATAGGCTCTGTTCTCAACTTGACAGCTTTCTGTGAGCCTTCTGCCCCAGATCCTCCCCGGACCTTGAGGCACTCCAGGCTAACTGCCCTATACCAATCAATGAATCAGTCAGTGACTTCTATCTTTCTAAGGGTCTGACTCAGTTTCCCAATTAGGATGTGAGAGGAGGGAGTCCACCACGTTCAATGTTGCATTCCTAGTACCTTGCACAAGGCCCAACACTCAGGAAGTGTTTAATGAGTGAAAGAAAGAGCTAGGTTTGAATCCCAGCTCTGCAATTTACTAACTGTGTAGCCTCAGTCAATAACTTAACCTCTCTGAACCTTTGTTTCCCTGTGTGTATAATGCTAAGAATAAGTACTCTGTAGGGCAATGATAATGATCAAATAAAGCACTTCATACACCACCTGTACTGCAGGAGATTCTCAGTAAACAGTAACCATGAACGATCTGCAGAGAACCCGGCAGGTGCGCCCAGGGCTGGGCAGGGGCCTTACCTTAGCGGTACAGGTGGCCCTGAGGGGCTCGATGAGCCGGTCCACCCTCTGCAGGACAGGCACAGGACACAGGGTAGCCAGTCGTGCGAGCATGATGAAGGTCAGCATCTGCCCAGGAGGAAGGAGACGGTTCTTGGTGAAATGGCCCAGGACCAAAAGGAGCAGGCCCTGGGGAAGAGCAGAGGTCTGGAGCTCAAGCCCAAGCTCTAGCAGCCAGCCTGCCTACCTGCCACACTGACCTGTGTGTACTGGCACTCACCAAATATTGGTTGAAATTAAGGAATGCTTTTGTGCTTTTTCCCGGAAAAGACTGAGATTTACAACAGTGGTTCTCTCTAGGTGGAGTGGAACTTTTGGGCGATTACTACTCACTTCTCTGTTCACTTTTAGATTGTCTAAACCCTTTAAGACAAGCATAATTCCTTTTGATTATTTTACACTGGTTTTTCGTTGCAAAAATGATTCATGTTCACTGTATTTTAAAACGCTACAAGGAGAGAAAGTAAAACCTGTCTCCCTCACAGGTAATAAAAAAATGGCCCAAACGTCTACAACTCACTTATCACCTAACAGTGAGTCTTGGCCACCTTCCATACCAGCACAGAGATCCCTCTCTGTCCTTGTAATGCTGCCAGGATCCCATCCATGGCTGGAGGTACCCGGTTTACTGAGCCAGCTCCCCATGAGTGGACATTTTGGTAGCTGCCAGCCTTTCCCAACTCCCAGAAAGCTGTGGAGAACCATCTCTCACATAAAACTCTGAATGTATTTTTAGGAGTCAGTTCATGAAGTCAGTTCATGGAGTGTCTAAAAATTCTAAATTTTAAAATGTTTCTAAGGTATGGGGATATATGTATTTGTATAGCTGATTCACTTTGTTATAAAGCAGAAACTAACACACCATTGTAAAGAAATTATACTCCAATAAAGATGTTAAAAAAAAAATCCCCCAAAAATAAAAATAAAATGTTTCTAAATTCTACATTTTTCTAGTTCTGGTCAAACCATCCTCCCAAGAGCTTGCCCAGTGTAGACTCCCACCAAAGGTGTGAGACGTGGGTTCCTTTTCTTATTGTTAAAGAACAAAGCAGCTGTTTTCACGGGGGTGCCTGGGGCAGGGGTGGGGGACAAACAAGAAGTGGACCCTGTGGTGCCTGGCTGTCCTCCCGCTGCGGAGTGGGCCTGGGTCCGGAAGGGGGCTCGTCCTACCCGGATGTCGTAGTGGTCCTTCAAGCCGTCCTCCACGTGGTTCAGGAACTCGCAGATGTCCAGCTGGCCCAGGCAGCTCTCGAGCAGCGAGTACATGCACTCGAAGGCTGCCTTCCGCACATCCAGCCCATCGTCCACCGTGTGCTTAAAGGGCCCCATCTCCACCTGCAGGAGGGAGGGAGGGATGACAGCGGGCTGGGGGCTGTGACCCCAGGGCATAAGGACACCTTCCCAGGTTCCTGCTGCACCCCTCCCCCTCTGTTGTTCAGTACTGCGTCCCATCCCCAAATCATGCCTTAGACCCTTAAGTCTCCATGCCTTTGCTCAGCCCATGATGCCTTTTGATAATAATAGTAACAATAATTATAATTACAATGATTAGAATCTACTGAGCAGTTACGATGTGCCAGGCACTGTGCTGAGTGCTTGACAGATGACATTTTACTCATTCAACAGTCCCAGGAAGACAGTGTTACTATTAACTCCATTTAATATATGAGGAAACTAAGGCTCAGAAAGGTTAACTAACTTGCCCAAGGACACTAGCCCAAGCCAGTAAACAGCTCAACCAGAATTAAAACCCTAGGTCTCTCTGAAGTTATAACCAGAAGGCTCTGCTCTTAATGGTAACTCCTTCTTACCCCTCAAAGCCCAGCTCAAATGTCCCCTCCTTTTGGAAAACTTTCCTAACCCCTCTAAACAGAGTCACATCCTCCTCAGCGATGCC